GGGCTATTTCATACGGCAAATGTGAATATTTTTAAGATTAATTATTGAAAAAAGAGGGAGAATAGCATATAAATTCAGGACTACCAAAGTGGAAATGCAATAGTTAAAAATTAATCTTAAAAAAGAGTAAGAAAATATTTTTAAAGAAAGAATCAGCCTTGGCTGGTGTGGCTTAGTGGATTGGGTGCCAGTCTGCAAACTAAAGGATCACCAATTGGATTCTCAGTCAGAGCACATGCCTGGGTTGCAGGCCAGGTTCCCAGTAGCAGATGTGTGAGAAACAACCACACACTGATGTTTCTCTCCTTCTCTTTCTCCCTCCCCTCCCACCTCTAAAAATAAACAAACAAACAAATAAATATTTTCTTTTAAAAAAGGAGTTTAAAAAAATCAGAGAACAAGTGGGACAAATAGTCCCAAACTGAAAGGTAGACAAAAATTTAAAGTTTACTAATTACAATAAAATAAATAAACTAAATTCTCCTGGCAGAGGAGAATTTAGTAAAGGAGAAACCATGGTAAACCTTGGGTGGCATTCAATATTCACTTGGGAAAACATGATTCAGGGATTCGTTTTTCCTTTCAGGTTCCTTCCATGGAAGGAACATGGCCACCAGACACTTGCTCAGGGCACGTGGACCACAAGTGCATGCTGCTGCCGGGGGGGTCCAGCCCTACCGAATGAAGGGCCTAACGCTGCCATTCCAGCCCTCACTGGGGAAAGTGGTTATTAAAAAGGAAAATTTTAGTAAAGAGATTGAGAGAGGAAAATGACCTATCATATCCTCAGATTCAAATTCAAAAATTAAAAAACAGACCAAAAGAAATCCTGTTTCCTAAATGACCCAGGAGGAAATGAAAGTGTGAACCAAGGTGTGAGTAATAGGACTGGCCTCTGAGCCCACCCCAGTTAATTAACGCACACTTTTCCTGCCATCTACAAGCTAGCTAGAAGATACAGTGGGTTCAGCAGTTTTGGCTTTGGGTTGTAACCCATACCACTGCTTTTCATTTTGTTTAAACATAATGAAGGTTATAATGATATTGGGGAGGCCTTCAATGTCTATAACTAGGTTTGTGGACTCTGATAACCAGGATTGATTTTTAGCTACTGCCCTCTTTGCCACAGGCATTTTGACAGGGGAAATCCCACACCATCAAGCTGTATGATAGTATAAACTTCCCACATGGTTCCCTTCTATGTAGAGAAATCATTATGGGAATTTGAAAATTATAGCGCAGAAAAAGTATTAGAAATTAATTCAAAGACGGTTTCTGGCATAAACACATATACAGTCTTTGTTATGCTGTTAACTACAGTATTCCTTACTGTTTCAATTTAATTTCTAAGGTGTGTTCAGGTTCAATGCTGTGAACATAACCATGGTAATAACTATGGTTGGTTTTGTTTTGTTTTTGCTGCTGTTTGTTTACAATCAGAAGGTGGAAGAAAAACTTTAAATTAAAACTTCTAATCATCCTATGAAAATGTGTGTGTTTATGGCTCCTCTTATAATATTAACATTATATGCATGGTTACACATTTAGAAAACTAGAAAAACTTCCTAATGTCATTACCTCTTAATCTTTCTGCAGGTATTCGAAACTTAGCGCATATTGAATCTACCCATGACCTTTTATAGGTGGGACCCTCTTCCCCCTGAAGTCAGCTTCATTTCAATGAATATATCATTTCTATTTGGCCTTTAAGGGGGATGATTTTCCATGCTGGAATGGGTCCTCTCTATAAAAACCTAGTCAAATAGGTTCTGGAACACTTTCAAAGAGATCAGATCCCAGGTAGACGCCCAGCAGAAGGCTGGCAGGCTCCACGTGAGATTTCCACTACAGTACGCTGACATTCTTTCAAGTTTTACTGTTTCTGGTTGAAGGGACACCAAAGGTAGCAAAAATGGCTAGTGCAGTAAAAACCACATTTGGAGTTTACAGAACCAGAGTTACCCTGACACAGCTGAAACAAACAAAAAATCTGCCTAAGAAATGATATTAACCTTAAACATTGAGCCAAGAATCTTTGAGCTTCTACCCTGAATTTCTCTTCAGAGCACGTAGGTGGGAGAAGCCACTTTGTTCTGGCTGCCCCCTCACTAGGCCCTGGGCTGACGCACCCACCAGCACATGCCTCCTGGTTCCCAAGTAACCCCCCAGGATTCCCACCCTCCCTTAGTCTCCACGTGAGCCTCATTGCTGGCACAAAGAGCCTCTTTGTCTCCCAACATCAGGCTCTTTGTGCAGCTCTACCTCCCTCCTCTGCTGCCATGCCCATCTCCCCCCAGGCCTTAGAACCGCAACTCTCTTCCAGGTTTCAGGTGTCCCTCATCCTCTGACCCTGACTTTGTCATAGACAGAAATGAAAATGTCCTGGTCCCACTGAACCCCAAGCCTTGTCCAACTCTATCTGGTACTCAACCTGTCTACCTAAAACAGTTTCTAAATCACTCGTTGGTCCTCCTGATGCTGCTTGAAATAAATAAGAAGATATCAAGGCTGTAAAGTTTTCTTTTCAAGATAGCATAAAAGAAATCACAGGGCTGAACTCAGTCTTTGTAAGCCCAGGTGATGGTGCCCTAAAATATCGGTACTGATGAGGCACTTTGGAAGTTGCCATGGAGACCACTCTTGTGTCCTATTCTCTTCTGGAACCACTGATACACTACAGAGCAACACATTTTTTCATCTTATCTAGAAACAGATTAAATTATCTGTGGCAGTAAATGGCAGCTGTTCACCAAACCTCTGCCCCCCTTCTTCCTGGGCACACAGCTGGGCCCCCTTTCCGAGAGACTACTTCGTACCAGTAACATGGGTCAGAGGCGATGTCTGTCACTTCTTGGCCAAGAAGTTGAAAAAGCGAGTGTGACTCTTCCACACTCTCTCTTGCTGTTTGCTGGGCGTAAGTGGAAAAGAAGCCCAGCAGCTGAAGGAACCATACATTGAAGATGAGGTTCTCTGAAACTCTATGTGGAAGAAAACTGACAACCAACAAGGGGCACTCACATGGCCTATTATGTGAATAAACACTATTGTGTTTGAGCCGTTATACATTTTAGGGTCTTTTGGGGTTCTGAAGCCATGCCTACACTAATTACTGCAACCAATATTTTATGTTTCAGAGCACTGAATCACTTGGATGTCAGAGTTCTGGACCTTCATCCTAGAAATATAAGAAATACTAGCTGAAAGGGATGAGAAGCAGGAAAGAGCACTAATGTGAGTAACTACATTTACTGCCTATGTAGCCATGTACCAAGCCTGTGTTAGATGCATCATTTATACATACTGTTTCACATAGTTGCATTTATGCTTCACAGCAATGTTAGGAAATAGTGCCGTCATTACCCCCATTACTCTGATTGAGGAACCTGAGGCAGAGATGTTGTACTCAGGAAGCCATGATTCAAATCTGTTGACTCCATAGCCCAAGCTCTAGTGCAGTACCCACTACTGCGTTCTAGGCAGTTCGTACAAGTTCACCTTCCCAACTCCTTGTAACTAGGCTTTATTATCCCCATTTCAAAGATGTGTAAGTCGAGGTTCAACAAAGGCAGATGATTCGTCCCAGCTTACACAACTGGAAAAATTCAGGCGAAGGTCTGAGTGCCTCTAAAGTCCTTCTCTTTCCATCACACCTTTGAAGTCAGAATGTAGATAGACAAGAGAGGTCACTGAGACTGAGCTTCCCTCCATTTCCTCGGAGGCTGAGTCGGTAGCTCTGTGACCAAGGGACAACTGCACTCATCACTATCTGTCAGCTCTGGAAACGTTGGGATTTCTGCCAGATAGTGTTCACCGGGCTCCCCTAGCATGTCATTAAGGTTATTTTTTTCACACCGATAACAAACTGGCTAGGCTTGAAATACTAGTCAACCCATCCTTTGCCACAGCCCACAGGGAGGGTGCCCTCAGCCAGGACTGGGTGGGTTATGTTCAGGACTAAACAAAGAATGGAAGCCAGTGGTGTAGAAAGGCATTCTTTTAATGAATAAAGGGTTCGTGTGTGGCAGGAGCCATAGTCCCATCCTGCAAATGTACCTCAGAATCCTAAAGTTATGGCGGGCCACCAGGAGTTTTGTTTTTATAAGGACCTCCTGATACCCGGGGAAAAAAATACTGTGGAAATGTCAGGGCTGATCAGGACTCTGGAACTGAGTTAAAGATGGAGAGGGGGAAACTGGAATGATTCCTGAGTAGAAATGAAGATTTTGGTCTGTCCCCATACTGGGCTTTTTAACCGGAATGGCCCACCCTGTCAGTATAACCCTCTGGGCCCCCCTAAGCACTGGCCCCGCCCCCCAGGGCTAAATGACATATTCAGGATTCTCTCAAGACCCAGCCCCACCCCTCATCTGTTCTGACTTCCCCTGGGGATTACTGGCGTATCAAGAGTCCACATCTAGGGAAAGGTCGTGCTGGAGGCTCACAGTGAGTCAGCATGATGGCAGCATAGAACTTGCTGGACTGTGCTGTGAACCGGAAACACCAAGGCCACTTAGAGACCAAAGAGCCAGAGTCCCACATTCATCTATGCAATCAATAGACATATGTGGTTGGGAAAAAGCATGAGCAAGGTCTTCAGGGTCCGGAACACCTCTGCAGGGCGGTGCCAGCAGGCCCACAGCGGGGACTGCGTAGGAAAGATGGGGGGGGGGGGCTGCTGTGGTGCCTATGGAGTGAGCCCATCGAGTTTCCAGGGTTCCCAGGATTGGGGATGACACAGCAGCAGCCCCACACAAATCACTGCAACAGCTCAACTGTTCACCGAGTAATTTACGCCATGTTTAGCGTTCCTGAAACGAATGTACTTACAGCGTTTTTTGCGCTTCTGGATGGTGTCTTTAAATACTGGATGCAATTTTAATGGCTAAGCTTACATTACATTCATTTCATTTCATAATAGTCGATTTATACTGTCCACAGCCTCTTTTCTCCATCACCCTCGTGGACTGAGAGGTGACTCTAGCACAGTTGTGTTTATGTACCTTAATTCCTTGTGATCCATAGCCAGGGATGCCAGGAGGGCCAGGCAAGCCTTTCTGCCCAATATTACCCTGTGAGAAGATGGAGAGAAATCAGACAAGTGTAAGAAGATTTAGAGAGAAACCATGGATTATTGCTCTTAGCTTTGTTCTTACTTCAATCTGATCAGGACCTTCATCCATGCTCCCTATAAGCTAGTTTGTATTTTATATAAAGTAGAGGTTTTCTAAAATTTTTAAGCCACAGAATCCTTTGCAAAAATCTTACATATAATCCAAATATCAATAAAGACTTAAGGCAGAGCTGCTTGGTGTAAGCAGCAGTGTCGGCCTGGGAGCCTCGTCACCCTGGGCTCCTTCAGCTGCCCTACCAACAACCCCACAAGCCGGGGGCATGAAGACCACTCCCACACCATCTATGGAGCCTTTGATCTATTGCTGCATTTCAACACGGAGTGATAATTCACTGGGGTTGCAGTTAAAAATTCAGTGGATATTGATGTGGATCCCTGTTGAATTCTTAAGAAAATATGTAAATGAAGCAAAAAGGGCACAGTTTCCCGTATGTATTCCTTATGGAATAAGTAGACCTCATATTTCCTGAGGAAAAACTTCTGTGGTCAAATGAGTTTGGAAAGTGCTCTCCACCACAGTAAGTGCCTCTCCTTGGAGATCTCCAGCCCATAGGAAAATACCAATATTAAAGCTTCTAGGAAGCCCCCAAATAGAGATATTAGTTTAACTATCCCAGAAGTCTCCAAATTAACATTTGATGGGATAAACTTTGTAGAAATTCTGGGTTAATATAACTTACTGTATAAGTCAGACTTTTTCTTTCCAGTAGGAAACCAACTTTATTTTTTCTGATTATAAGAGGATTACCTGCTTATTGCAATCAATCAATTGATTGATCAACCAATAAAATAGAACAGAAATAAAGGTGACACTGAAGAAAGAAGGGACCCATCTCCCCATCACCCAGTGACAACAAGTACTGGCATCCTGGGTGATCTTCACTCACACAGAGTGATCTGTGAGATTAAGAAATGCCCACTGCTCAAATGGAGTTGAGGGACAACAAAAGATAAAGAATCTTAGTGATTCTGAGGTCCTCAGTAACTTTGACTCATAAAGCCTCTCCCCGTTCTGCTGATAACTGGGTTCTAATTCACTTCTCAGCATTTTGAGTGTGACTACATCTCTTTAAAATTCGAATTTGTGCCTGCTCATCAGTACCTGTTTTTACTATAAGCATACCTGATATTTCTCTGCCTTACTTTTTGAATGATTCAAAAAAAATGCAGAGCAGGTGGATGAAAAATTAGAATGGGCTTCTCCACCTCGGCACTACTGGCATTTTGAGCTGGGAGGTTCTTCATGATGGGAGGCTGTCTTGTGCACTGCAGGACGTATAGCAGCACCCGGGGCCTCTGCCCACTAGCAGTCAGCAGCAACCCTTCTCTGGTTGCAACCCCCGCCCCCCAAACGGTCCCAGACATTGCCAGACGTCCCCCTGGAGTGGTGAGAGGAGGGAAAAATCTCCCTCCTTAGGAAACACTGGGTTAAAGGGATGAATAGACACCAAACTGGAGGTGGCAAAAGGAAGTGAAATAGAAATGAGAACAAAGGGAGCCAAAGGAAGTTTCTTTTACCTTCCATGTAGATAATAAACCTAGACCTCGCACTGAATCCCTGACAGTGTACCACATACATATGACACAACAGACACATCAGCTGGTATCCTGTCAAAAGGCCACCTGACGCACCTGTGGCCAAAGCAAAGGTGTGCTCCTTAATGATGGCAAAGCCTCTAAGGAACCTAGAAATATTTTGGGTACTTTGCAACTGGTTTTTAAAGAGACACTGGCTTACCAATTTCTTTGGGGGAAGAGAATGCCTTTATAAACTTAGATGTTCTAGTTACTGAAAGTTCACATAATATGGGAAAAGAAGGCTTTTCATCAGCAACCAAGAAAAGACAAGTAAGCACCAAAACGAGCACTTACTGTGAAGCTAATGCTCACTTGGTTGCCACTGGTGGTGCCTGAGCCTCACATGAAACACAGCCCTGAGGACTCACCTTTGGCCCTTGGGTTCCCAGGCCCCGAGGCCCAGTGGGGCCTGGCGGTCCTCTGACTCCCGGCTCTCCCTGAAAAGACAGTGAATGACAAGTTACTAATGTCTAGAAAACCTGTATGATGTATACTTAAAACATTAAAATATTAAAAATATTTTATATAAATTTACATATTCAAAATATTTTTAATACTCCACACCCTTGAACTTGACTAAGCTATAGTGACCTTTTATGACACATCAGTCTCTTAAACTTGACCCAAGGAGTGTTACCTCCCTTTGTTTTCGTTTCTTATTGCCATTTATTCCATCAGCAAGCCAGCTGGGTCCATTTCAAAGCAACCCACTCGATTAACTACTTGGCAACCCTGATATGTACTTTTTCTTAGGAACTCCCTTCTCTGGAATTTGGACAAATAATTACCACCATTGAGAAAAGAGACACGAACAAAAGAAACCATGAAAAGATGTGACCCATCCCGGACTAGCTGCTTAGTGCTTTGTGCGGTGAAGATTCGCATCTCAGGTGAGGGCTGGGCTCTGCGACACTCCTGCCCCTGGAGTGGCTGAGATGGCAGGGCAGGCTGCGGGAAGGCTTTTCAGACTCTCCAAAGCATGACAGTGTCATACCAGGTGACTATCACCAGAGAAGTGGTGGGGCCTGATTGGGACAAGTCTGGCCCTGTGGTTACACCTCTCTCAGATGTGAGTGATGATGGATGGGAAGAAACAGAAATCAAAAATCTCTTCATTAGCCACTTTCTGCATGCCTAGCATTTTACTAGGCATGTTCCTATATGTTATTTGATGTAATTTAGGATTTAGCACCATCCTGTATTACAGTGATGACTAATTTACCTAACCCCTTCAAGCTTCAGTAAGTCCATCAGTTATATTGAAAATCATGTTCGCATTTCATGGGGAGGAAGACAAAGTGAAACAAAGAACGTGCATGTTCCCACTGCAGAGTCCAGCCTAGAGCAGGCCCTCGGTAAATGTTCACTCCCCACCCCACCTATTCTGCTAAGCAGGAAACTGGACTTTGCCCAGGGTCAGAGGCAGGGCTAGGAGGATGCGGAGAAATGGGAATCCTCACATGTTGCTGGTGCAGACACTTTGGAAAACAGTTCGGCAGTTAATTCCTTTAAAAGCTCAACAAAAATTTACCTTCTGATCTAGTAAATTCACTCCTAGGTATACACCCAAGAAAAATGAAAATGTATGTCGATATCAAGACTTACAGACAAATGCTCTTAGCAGTATTATTCATAATAGCCCCCAAATGGAAACAACCTAAATGTCCATCAGCTGACACAATAAAGGGATAGACAAAATGTGGGACATTCAGCAACAGAAAGAAATGAACTACAGATGCATATTTCAACATGGATGAACCCCCATAACATTATTTGCAGGAAAAGAAGCCAGATTCTGGCGAACACATATTATTTTATTTCACTTATATAAAATGTCCAGAAAAGGCAAATCTGTAGAGACAGTAAATCAATGGTTGCCTTGGGCACGGAACAGGGTTAACTGTGAAGGGGCGTGAGGAATCTTACAGGGAGGAAGAAAATGTTCAAAAACTGATTTATGGCGAAGGCTGTGTAACTTGGTAAATTTACTAAACAATCTTGGAATTGTACACTTGAAGTGGGTGGTTTTTGTGTTACATTAAATGTCTTAATAAAGTTATTAAGAAAAAAAAGGAGCCAGGCTTTGGACCTTGATCTCCCAAGCTCTTTGCTCTGGGCCTTATTGTGTCCATGTCCTGTAGAGAGATAAATACTAAATAACTCACAGCTTTCACCAGTGCAAAAGTCATGGACTTTAAGGAATGATGACATTGTTTGTCTAGAAAAATAGCCCGTCCTTTACTTCTCATTTACAGACCCTAAAATACTTCTAGAGAAAACAAGGCCTTGAAAGAGTGAGGAAAACTTTTAAACTATATTTTATTACTGACTTAATTCTTTTAATCTCCCTTTTTATAATCATGTATTTCCCCTTTGCTTCCATACCACCCTTATGGTTCGGATCTCCAGCCTCCCTCTCTTCCTCTCACTACTTAACTGCCCCTGAGACCACAGATACCAATTATTTCCTCAACCCCTCTCTCCCCCTGACTCCCGACTGCCAGTGGCCCCACGTTTCTGCCAGCTTAAATGATCACTCCGATCATCCACAGTTGAGAGTCGTGAACATGAACGTGTCTTGCATTACATAGATTTGTATCATCTCTCTTCTCTGGAGGACCTGTGAAGCCCTTTACGGGAAGTGTCCACAAGCTTGCGGCAGGAGGGTCTCCGGCTACACCTGACTGACTCACCCCTCTGCTACATTTTGAGCCCCTCCAGCAACGCCAAACACAGGAAAGTTGTAAATCTAGTTAAGGAGATTTTATTCAAGATCATTCAATGGTTTATCAGAAAACAATTGTCCTTTTTGCCTGGTCGCCCTTAACCCCACTCCAGACGCGGTGGATGCCTCTCTTGTGTTTCGGGTTTTCTCCATCCTCCCGTGATGAGGTTGGACACCCGATGTGACAAAATGGGACGACATGGCCCCGCCTCTGAGGTATTCTCACTAAGAAAAATTGAACCTATGTCTGAGCAGGTATCTGTCTAGATCTAACTACTAGCTTATAAAACAAAACAGAAAGACATGTTGAAAATAACACCAGAAGGATGCCATTAGCAAAATCCTCAAGGACAAAAAAAGAAAAAAGAAAGTCCATCAAGAAAGTGTAAAGAAAAAAACAAAAGACATGCAACCTTTGATTTTAAAAAGAGGTGTGAATTCAAACACCGTGTGTAGACATCATTTGGATCCCCATTGAAACAAACCAATGGTAATGAATGTACAAGACAAACTGTGAAATTTTAATGTTCAAAATAAGATACTATGGAAGTGTTATTAATATTTCTTAGGTCTGCTGATGGTATTAGAGTTATGTTTTAAAAAAGAGTTCTTACATCACAGAGACAAATGCCGAAGTGGTACAGAGGTGATGCCTGGGGTTTGCAGGGATGAGGGGTGTGAGCAGAAGAAGTGAGAGTGGGGGACGCAGCTAGAGGCTGACCGCGTGTTGGTAACCATTGGAGAAGCGCAAGGGGCAAATGGGAATTTACTAATGTTTCTGCTTTGTATACACTTACTCATGTTCGTGATACTTTAATAACATGTTTCAAAGTCCGTGAACAATACTAATAAATATCTCACCAGTGAGGGTGAGGAAAGGTTGCTGCGATGTTTGGCCTTGATAATGAGAAGGAGCTGGGATTTTTAAGATAGAATGATGGGCAAAGGGGAGGAGGAACACAGCAGTAGATTCAGTCATCACTAGTGTAACCTACATGTGTTTCATATATTCTTGGTATGTACAAAATCGTTTTAAAAAACTAAGGACATGGTAAGAAGGCAGATGGATATTTTTTATAGAGTCCTATTTCTTTTCACAAAGAATATGATGCTCGAATTCATGATACTTTCTTTGTGATGATTTTAGTCAAAACCACCTTCTCGATTAGTATTTATCATATGCACACACACACACACACACACACATCCCAGGTGAGAAAGTATGTGGGAAAATAGTTACAATACATGGTGAGTTTACTTCAGGCCACCCTTGACGACTTTGCTTTTGCTATCCTTTTTCCCTCTGACTTAGTTCCTCCTGACCCTCGCCATTTAAAAATGCCTGAAGGCTAAATGCAATAGTGTAGCTGCCCCCATGGACACTGTGTGGCTCTCTTCTACATGTGAACTGGTAAACGAACTTTATAAGGGTGTGACCCCATGTCACATGTGGTACTGCAATGTTTACCTCAACCAAGTCGTCCACCTTTCTTCATGTAGTTGTTGATATAGAGCCATGTTTTATCTATCAAAATATTTTTCTGGATCTTTTGACCTCTGTGAACATAATCTGATACAGGCTTTTATGATATGACAGACCTAAAGTCCAGTCTTAACGTAGTCTGCAGGTGTACAAGTTGGTCGGTAACAAGGTGTGAGGGTCGTTCCTTGGTGTAGATGCACCACACTTTCCAACAAGTGGCAGCATCAGGCACTTAGTGAGCAGAGTGAACCCACAGAGGCAGTGTCTCTTTATCATGGTGGGGCCTTAAAAATGCACCCTGCCTTTTGTCCCCTGGGCCACAAGCCCATGCTAGGCTACGGCATTAGGGGAGTGTGCGTGAGAGGAGTGGGATCGGGAGTCACTTCGCCACCTGATAGCACCAGCTCTGCCACCATGCCGCACCCCTGTACTGAAGAAATTGTTTACCAAGGCGTTTTCAGTTCTGACATCAGTGGATACATTGACATTCACAACCAAAAAGAAGTGCAGCAGGTGCTTGCACAGCTGGTCTTAGCTTCCCGTGCAGAAGCTGAGGGTTGCTAGAACCTGCAGAGGGAGCCCTTGCACTAGGAGACAATGAGCAAACCCAAAAGCAAATTCTGGACTTGCCATTTGTAACTACATCCATCAATTTCATAAGACCCTTAGCTTAAGTCCTACCCCTACTTGCTTACCTCCACTCCTCCCCAAAAAGAGCAGCTAACTATTTAGATTGCGCAGAGCTTCCTTTTGGCCCACAAAGAGATTCTAGAAAAGACGCTCCTTTCATTTAGACAGGATAGTCAAATTTAAGACTATCTGCAATACTTGTATATGTGAACTTAACAAATGATTTGGTGAAGGTTTTACTTAGACTATAACCTTGCAGAGTGGTTAATTTCAACTCCTTTAAAATCATACATAATCTTATAATGATCCTACCAACGATTTATTGAATCTTTTACTTTTTAAAAGGAAGAACAAAGCAAAAAACACTATCACTGTCCTTCATTTTCTCATTAGTAAATCTGTGCTTTGGTTCATCCTAAAACTATTATAATTAGTAGTGAAATAATGAAAATAAATTTATTACATGGCAGGTACTTTTCATTCATTATCTTATCTGATCCTATTAACTTACTCCAATTTATAGATAAGGAAATTGAGGCCTGAGAGGATACAGAATTTGCCAAAAAAATATGCAGCCAGAGGTAATTCAAACTCAAGTT